GTGAGGGGAGGGAGAGGGAGAAGGGACTTGAAACAAGCTTGTTCCCTAACTAGAACTAATAAATAAATTAAAAAAAAAAAGACCATACACAATTTTAGTTAGGAAAGAGATCATAAGAAAAATGGTGTTTCCTCAGCAATCTGAAAAGGCAGGTGTTTGTGGAATTGGAGAGATGCCCTGTGCAATTGGTTCATCTGCAGAACAGAATTTCACCTAGCTGAAGCTAGAACAAGGATGGACAAGCCTTGTGTGAAGGCTTGTGTGCCAGTTTTGTTTATTTTAAAATCCAAACCATTTCCTGTGGAAGGCAAATGAGAAGCCTGAAGAGCAAAGGCAAGATGGGTGTGCGCTGCAGATGCAGCTGCAGGGCTGAGGCTAGGGAGGAGCAAGCCAGAGGTCAGGCAGCTCAGAAGGCAGAGTGTGGCACTTGCCCAAGCAAGGGAGAACTGGCCTGGCTGCCAGCATGGGACTGAAGTAAGGGTCACAGCATGGCTGGGAAGCTGAATGGCCATGAGGTAGAGTAGGACAGGGAGGAGTCAGTATGGGCTTCCCGGTTCTTCCACCTTCTCCAGATGGGATACTGGCAGCACCACTGACTGACTAGAAATACTGAAGAAGCAAATGTGTGTGTGGCTTAATCTTCATTTGATAGAAGATATAAAATTAATAGCTTTTAACATCACCTACTAAGTTCTGAGAATATGCTGTTAACAACTAAGCAGGTGACTCAAATGTTAATCTTACAGTTTTTAGTGATAAATTGTCATAACAACCTATGAACCACTGCCTCTCATGACAAGGTATGAAAGGCCCAAGTCCATCATCTACACACTGGTACATCGACACAGGAGAGAACTAATATGCTCAATGGAGCTCTTTCACATTCAATGTAAAATAAAATAAGAAAATCTTTTCTCTTTGATTATTTAAAATACATAAAATTGTGTCAGTTGTCATAGCAAGCTAAACACCCATGATCAAGCCACACTGGAGCAAATGCTTTGAACCCTTGTGATTCTTGCAGAGGAAGTGTTCTGCCACCACAACCTAAGAGAGACTGGCTACATACAGAAACTAAGACTCTTCCACCTAAGGATGTTTCGAACAACTGAATTTTTCTAGAACATTCTATACAACAGGTCCCCTACCGGACTTGCTTGGCACCTTCCAGTACACAGGGTACAATCGAAAACACTTGCTGCTCTTCAGAGTCCTCCTGGGGTTGGTCCGGAAGCTGAGGAGTCCCTTTTCTAATCCACTCCAACATGAGTTTTTCATTCAAGTCAAAGAGCTTGTCCACTCCCCCTCCTTCACCAGCAAGTCAACTGCAGTGAAGACAGGTGTTCAACTGAGAACCCAAGTCTGAAGCTACAACTCCTCAAGCTGCTTCAAGAGCCAAGTTTGCCAGGGTGTCTCCAGGAGCCTGTTTAAACTGGCTTATCTTCCTTCAATGCAAAGTGGCTTCCTGGGGCTGAAGATATGGCCAAG